CATGCCATATTCGGCGCTGCCTGGGCCTGCCCTCACAGGGCCGTGGAGCTGCCTCCATCCCCTGGCCAGGAGTGTCCGCTGGGGCGCTGTGTCCTGGCCCCTTCTGCTTGCTCCCACCACAGACCATAAAGGTCCAGCCTGGAGGTCCCTGCCCACCCTCCTGCAAGAAAATCGATGCCCAGAAAAAGTTTTGCACACAGTAGAGGCTCCATAAATGCTTGGTGAATGAATGAAGCTCGGGAACAGATAAGGAGGGGAAGGGGCTGGGGGCGCACGCAGTTCTATGTTCCTAGGGCAGAGCGGGCCGGGAAGGCAGGGCAGAGGAGGCAGCCACCACCCTGGGGACAGCTGGGGCTGTGAGAAGGGGCGAGGGGGGGTGGGAGGTGGGGAGGAAGAGGTTACTTTTAGGCACCTACAGGGCAGGGACTGGCCTGGCAAGGTCTCCCACTTCCGGACACCCGTGAGGTCTTCCTTGCTTGATAGACACTGAGGCTTAGAGAGCCTCGGGCACTTACTTGGGCTTCCGGTCCCGCAGGGCAGAGTCCTCCCCAGTCTGTCCGTGGTCCAGCCTGACCTTCTGCCTAGGCAGTGGTGCTTCCTACTGAAGGTGGGGAAAACGGCTGAAGGATTCCCTGGTGCCTCACGGCTCAGGGCCTTGGGACCGGGTTAGGAGACCCCGTCTTTCCTGATTTCCTGAGGCTTGCAGGCAGGCTGCCCTCCAGAATCCACCACGCACACTCTCAGGAGACCATCCTGTCCCTGCTCCCTGGCTGCTCCCACCCTGGTGTCAGAATGACTCCATCCCTCCCTGGCCTACTGGAGTGCCCCAGAGGCAAATATGGTCCCTTCTTCATGTCTGTCCTGGCACCACCAAGTTTTGCACACAGTAGAGGCTCCATAAATGCTTGGTGAATGAATGAAGCTCGGGAACAGATAAGGAGGGAGTGAGCCAGCTGTTTCCTACCTGGAACAGCTACTCAGGGTCGGGGCTCACTCAGCTCCCCCAGCCACTTGCTTTGTGACCACAGGCATGTCACTTCTTCCCCTCACTTGGCCTCAGTTTCCTCATGAATGAGGAGGGGGTTGGTCAGGTGGCACGTGGGGGCCCTTCTCAACCTTCCCCGTCTGTATCCTGCTTGTGAGCAGGTCTCCCCCAGGCCCTGTGTCGGCACAGCCCACACCCACAGACCGCCCAGCGCAGGCCAGGCCAGGCATAGGGAGAGGCCTTGCGCGTATTTAGGTGGATAAACACCTAAGCAAAAGCCAGGCCAGACCCATCCTCCGTCTTAAGGGACCTCAGAAGGCCCAGTGTTTTAGCTTAAGCTTCGGTAGACCCTGCCCAGGTCACTTGTCCTGGGCTTTCTTGCCCTCCAGGCATTACCAGGGGACTCGAGAGGGAGGATGAACTCCCCACCCCCAGGCCCTGTTGAGAGGGAACTGGGGCAGGCTGTCAAGGGTCCCCCGAGGGTAGTACCAATACAGCAGTGATCAAGGGGAGGAGGGCCAGCCTGACCTAGACAGTGGCTGTGGGGAGGGGCAGGATGGAGGGGCAAAGAGGACTGGTGGCCAGCAAGGGCGTGGGGGAGGGTCCTGGCTGGGGAGCAGAATGCGGTGTCACGCATAACCGGTTAGTTACCACCTCCTGGGTGCCTGTGGCCTTTCACCCCTTCCTTGAACTCTCCAACTGGGAAGGCAAGCACCACTCTTCTGGGGAAACTGAGGCCCAGAAGGGGAGTAAAGGCTCCCAGCTTGCCCCTAAGGGCCAGGACAAGAGCAGCAGGTGCGCAGTGAGGGCCCTTCGGACTCTGCAGGAACCTAGGAGCGAACGGGAGGCTGAGAAAAGGGCCTCGCGGAGCAGAGGTGGGCCCACCCGACTGAGGCTTCCTCCCACTCGGCCCCCTGCTCCTCATCGCCCAGTGCAGGGATCGCGGAAGGGCCCGCCCTTAAGAATCCTGCAGATGTGTTTGAATGGCATTTCTGTCATGGGACCTCGGGCAATTCACTGAACCAGTTTCCAGGCCTTCTGCGTGCTCTTCTGCAAAGTAGGTGACCCCAGCCTCCACCACAGGCAGTTGGGACAGTGCAGGTGGCCCGGGAACTTGCTCTGAGCCCTCCCTCCGCCCCGTCCTGCCTGTCTCTCCGAGGCTGCCCGGGCCAGCAGGCAAAGCAGAGGCTGGTTCTGCCCCGGGCAGCGGGTAGCGGGCAGCTCGATGGGCTCCAGCTCCTCCTCAGAAGCGGAGAGCAGGGGGCCCGTCACCCATCAGACCGGGTGGCTAGATGACAAAGCTTTGTCCTGGGCCCTTGGTGAGCTGGGCAGTGATGCTGCAGTGGTGGCTGCTCACCTCACCCCTCCTGGTTCCCGTTGAGGTGCCCATATGGGGCGCTTCTCTGGGCAGTTTTACCAGGTTGGGTGCGGCAGCTCGCACACCTCCCGTTTCTCGCCTCACCGCGGCCTCCTTTCTCCTCACCCCACCCAGTGAGGGTGCAGGGTCCCGTGGGGTCCCCACAGGTAAGCCTGGCTCTTGGAGCCTGTTTCTTGCTGTCAAACGGAGCTGTAAGAGGAGAGCACAGGGCCCCACGCACAGCACGTGTCCAGGAAATGTGTTCAGGGGAGCCTAGTGACAGGTGGTCTCTGGTCCCGTCTTGCTGTTTGGGTCTTGGGAAGGGGGGAAATGCCAGCCCGCTGCCCCCAGTGGTGAGGCCCAGGCCACACGGTGGTAGGGGCAGGGGGCCGGGCACAGAGCCACTTGGGCAGCAGTCTGTGTGAAGGATCTCAGCTGGGAAGTGCTGACGAAGACAAGTCTACCAGCTGATACGAGTGTGAGGCACGCATGACACAGAGACTGTCATATTCATGAGATCAACTGTTTATTGATTTTTTTCCTAAAATACTATACATTTAAAGAAACTCCTGAACCGAAAAGACGACTATTTTTGGTAATCTGTAGCAAAGGAATAAGGATTTCTGCTGGTAAGTCTTCAAGAGAAACACATACACACATTCACTTTCCAAGCAAGACATCGAGCTCCCTGGAAACATCGCGTAAATGCATAGCTTGTGATGGCGGTGGCCATTTCACCAACGTCTGAGTTACACAAAATAAAAGTTTTCCCTCCCTCCCATGCCCCGTGAGTTCAGTGTAGCTTCCTGTGGCAGTGCGTCTGCTCCCTGATGACTTAGGGCGCCCAGAAGAGACCCCTGTGCTATGGGGTGAGACCCAGCTTCTGTTTGCTCACGAGGAATACGGATGACTGAAATTTGCAATCACTGGAAAGACCTGGGAGTTTTTCAGTGTTCTGCTACGGAGGGGACGAAAGCTGGTTAGAAGCTGGACGCACAGCTGGCCGGGGAGGACAGACCACCCTCCAACCGTCTTCAGAGAGGCCCAGGGCCGATGTCCCGAGCCCGGAGCAGGCCCGGCTGACCCGCCACGCCTGTGCCCGAATGCCACGGCCTTCGAGCAGTTTAACCAATTAAACCCACTGTCAAGAGCCTTTAATCTCATTAAAACAGTAGACAAGCTCTTTAGATTCTCTGAATATCAAATAATATATACAGATATACATGAAGACATGACTTTATGTTTATCATAAAGCATCGTAATCTACAGATGCATTTGCCTGAAAAGTTAGTCTTCTCTCTTTTAACCTCCAAATCACTGCAGAATTGTTAAGAGTTAACTTTTTTGCATGAACAGAGCAGAAACAGGTTTTAAATATGGTGACTGGGGGAAGCATGGCATAAGGTTATCTCTTAAACTCATGTCTGGGCGCCCACGGGCACAGAGCACTCAGCATCAGCAGAGACGCAGCCATGACACGTCCCAGAATTCCCTACTGCAAACTCTCGCCTCACACACCGTCTGGCCAAATAAGCCGGGCAGCGGCGTAGCCAATCGAACAGTACGACACGGGAACAGAGGTGTCGCTTCCTCAAGCCTGGTGTACATCAATCTGTGCCATAATTTAAGTGTAAATGAATGGAGGAACAAGTATATAAAAAAGTACAACCGTACACAGTCTTTAAATTAAAAACCTCAGAAAATGACATGTAAATTTGTTCATTTAAGTCGCGGGTGATAAGACGCATCCGAGAAGGGATCAGTGGAACAAGAATCAGTGTAACCCACCATTGACGCGGAGGAGAGGCAGAAAGACAAGGTCAAGAATATACAGATCCATGATAAGCCAACACGCACACCGAGCAGGGGAGCGGGGAGGGGGCGGCGATGTCTGTTGTACTGTGTCTTCCTGTGTTCAGATCTCCGTCTGCACTGTGGGAAGGCTGCAAGTCTCAGGTGAAATGACCGGCTCATCTGTCTTCAAGAGACACCATGAAGCCAAGAGCAACGGAGCCATCATCTTTTACAGGAAAAAGTGGACGCCCACACAGCCGGCTGGAGGCGCCAGAGGTGCTGCCCAGGCCGATGGCTAACAGAGTTCCTGGGGCCACAGCCTCCACCCCTCCGCCAGCCAGCCTACGGGGCTGTCACTGGATCGTCTCGACATAATTCGCTGGGTACAGGCCAACCTGTCCGTTGTCCAAGCGTCCCTTGCACCAGCCCTGCTCATCCTCGTCCTCCATCTTGGTCAGCTCGTCCCCTGCAAGACAGAGAGGGGTCTTGGTGAGCCGGTAGGTGACACAGTGACTACTGGGTCAGTCTCCCTCATGTCTTAGCCCTCACCCCCGGCCCACAGAGGGTCTCTGACTTGGGTAGGAGGGGCGGGCATTCTCCGGGGAGTAAGTGGAGCAAGGACCAGTTATTTCTCTACTAAATTGCATTTTAAGCTGCCTCTGCAGGGGCCTCTGAGAAGTCGGAGACCTCTCTCACACAGTGGCTCTCAGATGCCACAGCGGCTCCCGGAGACTCTGAGGTTCACGGCTGCCTGTAGTTCTGTGCCTTTCTGACCATCATCGCAGACTGGACCGGGTCAAAAGAATCCTTCACAGGGTCATGCCACCTCCCCCTCCCCCTCCACTGCTGTCCTGCCTCCCCTGGGCCCAGCCCACCCACTCTTATTTCTCTTCCGGCACTTGTTGCCTTGGCCTGGGCCGTCATTTAATCCGGGTCCAGACGGCAGGCTGTGGGGTGGGCAGCACCATCATTCCATCTCCAGTACATAGCTGGGGCATGTCCTCTGGCTCAAAGAATCAACCCTTCCTGACACTTGGATGGAAGCCATTGGCCTCGTTCTGGAATTTTCCCATGGCTCTGTGTGTTAGGCGGTTTGATTTATGTTTTGTTTGTTCAAACATGAAGGAACCTCTACCATGAGACAGGCCCTGGGTGGCAGACGAGATACGGAGACGGGAGACAGATGGAGCCCTGGGTATTAAGGAGACAGACAAAGGGACAAGGACCACAGGTGTGATCGGGGCTGCGGTGGGGGAAGGGCCAGATCTGGTTTTCCTGTTGAGGGTGCACAGAGCAGCTCAGAACCAGGGAACAGGCGAGGAGCCGCCGGGTGCTCTGGCCAGTGAGCACCCTGCAGAGAGGGCGGGGGAGCCACCAGCTCAGGCTTCTCAGGGGCAGGACAGGGTTGGTAGCCCCGGGCATGGTTTTGTCTATTGTTCTGTTTGCCGCTTTGTATTTCTCGTTGGCATTTTGGTCCATTTTTCAGGCATTAGCTGCAATTTTTCCAGGCTGTTATGCCTCGTTTAGCAACACTTGCCTGACTGTTTTATGCTGCAGCAATACTGATGAAGATGCCTGGGGGCCAGTACCCGGGCTGCTAGGCTGCCGGGCTGGAATTCCAGAGCCGTTGCTCACGGGCTAAGAGGCCTGGCAAACTGCCCAGCCCCCTGGGCCCTGGTGGACAAGGTGCTGTGGGGACCACGAGTTACAACATGAAAAGACCCAGCACAGTGCCCAGCGCGTGGTGGGAGCTGCCATTACTCCCTTATGAGATGGTAATTCCTCCTGGAGCCAGGCCCCAGCTGGGCCCTGGGCCACCTCCTCAGCCCCGGCTCGGCTCGTGTGAATCAGACTTAGTTAGCAACAACCTAGTGCCTGCAGGGGGCCACAGGGCGAGTGACACGAGGGGCAAACCTCTTCTCCGTCCCTGCTGGCCTAGGTGCCCCCGGCAGGGCCCTCGCCGTGAACACTGGCCTTTCTCTCTTCCTGTCCTTGCAGGCCACTAGGCCCCCGGGCACACAGCGAGACGCCAGCAAGGTGATGCTTCTGCGTGGTGGAAAGTGCACCCAGAGGAGTGGGAGCAGCCAGAGCCCGCTACAGACAGAAGAAAGCAGCGCTGGCCAGGAACTAATGTCACATCGTAAAAAAGAAAAACAACACAGAAACCAGACAAAACTGACGAGAAAGCTCCAAGTTGTGAAAATGTGAACCGGTGACTAGAAACGGTCTTTTCAGTCAACTTGCTTCTGACAGTTCATGTGAAGCAGAAGGAAACATTTTAAATCTAAAAAACTGCCGAAAAATCTGATAGGTAAAACTGAGAAAGAATTAGAAGTTAAATAAATAAATCAGCAAAGTAAGGGGCAAACGATACCAACCAACGACAGAAAACTAGGCAGAACTTGTTCAAAAGCACAAGACAACTTCCTACAACCGGCTGGCACACCTGATGGCCAGCCCTGGGGTCGAGTGTCCGGGAACAGCTGGCTGGCCTGCTGGATTGTGGAGGGACAGAGGCTGAACCCACCTCTTCCTTCCCAGGTTCTGTGGGCCCTGCCCCGTCACCGGCCGGCGGCACCGGGGTCAGATGTGGGGGCCTGTCCCAGAGGTGTAACTCGAGCGGAGGGGCATGCGCCAGCCTTTGTGGGTTGATTCTGGCCCAGCTGCCCCTTGGAGGGGTGGATGCTGGATCTGGGGTGGCTTTGCAGAGGGGACAAGGCAGAAGAAGGAATCTGGTTCCCCTTTGAGCCACTGAGGCGCTAAGCGGCTCAAGCCTCTAAGACACGAGCTCTAAGTCTTTTCAAACCGAGTTACAACCCATCTGGTGAAGTGCAGCCAGTGTTGAAAAGTAAAAAGACACAGGACAGAAATCGTCTGCGCGCAGAGCCACGTAACCCGAGCGCAGACTGCTCTGTGGTTTCGGTGACTGGCACGGAGCTGTGCTAGGGTGAACGTGAATAGAGCGTGGCTGCAGGAAGAAAGGTGGAAGACGCTAAGACGAGCCTCTGCTGGCTCAGGGCACACACTGAGTGCGACTCCGGGGTCTGGACAAGGTGGCTCTGCCACGGGCGCCTGGTTCCAGTGCCTGGCCATGCCGTGCCCTGGCTCGGGGCAGCGCCTTGGGCAAAGGCACAGGGCACCTGTCTTCTAAACTCTGGCACCGAGCACCTGCTACTTCTGAAATGGGGCAGGGCCCCCTGGTAAACTAGCCCCATTTTACCAGGCTTCAAATCAAACAAGTCTCCCCCAGCAGGGTGGGAGCATGCGCCTGGGTGCCACTGGGGAGCCTGCCTACCGGCCTTGAAGCTCAGCTCGTCATGCTCCTGGCCCTCGTAGTCATAAAGGGCGCGGACCCGCACTTCGGTCCCCGAGGTGGTGTCCTCGTCGAATGGGTTGGAGTCCCCGTTGGCATCCGTGGAGGAGAACGGGTTGTTAGACTCGTCGTCCGACCAGTCAGTGGGGCAGCTCTGCGCCTTGTCGTAGCTGCTCACGCTGCAAGAGAGGGGACCCGGGGGCCTGAGCGTGGGGCTGGCAGGGCCGGGCCAGGGACTCCTGCAGGAGTGCAGCGCCGTCAGGTCACCGCAGAGGCAGGGCCGGCCGCCCAGCAGACCTGTCTTCCTGTGCGGGGCCTTGACAGGGGTTAATGGAGGTCAGAGAAAAAGCAACCACAGACTGTTACTGGTGCCCCCCTCCCTGAGACACAAAAGCCAGAGTGTCCAAAGCTGGCAGCTGGGCCGCCGCCTGCGGGCCTCATGCATTGCTTTGAGTGCCGAGGGGCCGAGGCCCTGGACAGAGGAAAGGAGAAAGAGCGAGCGAGGCGGGACCCAGAGGGAAGCATTTGTTCACCAACGTTTTGGCCTTAATGTCCTCCTTCTCACTGACGGTGCTCCCCGTGTCGTCCTCATCCTCGAAGGGGTTGTAGCTGGACAGTGACTGCGCTGACCGTGTGGGGTTGCTTGGGACACTAAGGTCGCTACGGGGAGAGAGAGAGCTTTCAGGGGACCCCAGCTTCAAGGCCCCTGCGATCCGGGGTGCTCCTGGCTGCAGGATCATGGGGCCAGGGACAAATTGGATGGGAGGAATATGTTGTTTAAGCATAAAAGGTTCTTTTGGCAAAACACTTGGCAGTACTTCGGCTGTTAAACACGCTCCAAGTGTGTGAGAACGAGACTCCATTCTCCGTCCTTGCATCTGGATGCCACGTGTCCCAGCCAGGAGCCCTGGGATGGAGCCCACAGGGATTCTCTCCACAGTCCTCCCTACCTGGACCTCGTCACCACTGCTGTGAGCTGGCAGGCCAGACAGCCTGTGGGGCTCTACCTGGGGAGGTGACAGCCTGGGAGGCTCGGAGCCCCACTGATGAGAGCTGGAGATAGGATCCTGGGGTGTAGCACACCTCTCCTGCTGACTACCAAAGGGGGTGTCCTCCCAGGTTCTTCTGGGCCTAGAGCTCCTAAAAACAACACCAGGC